GATTATTGTTAATTTTACAATTTTATTATTTTTATTAGGTAAGACTAGATATGATGTAATTAACTAATTATGTTGTTATGTTGATCATGCTTAGAAAAAACTTATTAATTTTAATTTGACCGGGTGTTGACCGGGGGTTGACCGAAAGTTGACCGGGACCGAGACCGGGGCCGGGGACTCTGTATATAAACCGGGGCCAGGGCCGGGATTGCAAACCCCGCCCCATCCCCGCCCTGTTTCCATCCCTAGATAGGCACTGGGTATTGGGATCAAATCATTTACCATAAAACAAAAATAGAACATAGTAGACTAATAGATAATCCAATTTAGATATCCAAACAGACTCATTTGAGCATACTAACAATCATAAAAAGCCAATAAATGCCCCTCCAATCAAGTGTTTGTGTAAGATTTTCTTTACAATATCTCTTGATGAAAAAATGGGTCATCAAAATTCGCACTCAATAACAGAACCTTACTTTATAAAGCCAGACAGATGAAAAACTAAAAGTGATGGAAGGCCATGTGAAAAACACTCTTATTGAGAGCCTATTTTGATCACAAACAAATTTGGAATGACCAGACTCAAATCCATCACCCATACTTGAAACCTACTTTGAAAAAAATATGCATCCCACAATAAATGTCAATTGAATTTCTGATCATAGGCATACGATAAGATGGTAGGCACAATTGAGTAGCTTGCCTAACTTATGGATCCTCATAGATTGCACTGTCTTCATATGGATTCTCATAAATTGCACTATCTTCAAAATTCAAGATATTGCATGTACTTCAGGATCAAAATTTTATTTACTCCATCGGTTAAACAAAAACATAAAWTTCGATTTGATGACGCRRTTTCATTGTTAAATYCGTTTCACTATTATGATAATGTTTTCGGTTCATRAATATGTGTTTTGGCTTAGTGAGACTARAATTTGATGAAACACTACGTTTATGGCATAATATATGATTTGGCATAATATAGGTTTATATGTTTTAAACTTCTGTTAATGTCATGCATATTAAGATCTTAGACATTAAGCAATTAATTTTATGTATTGTAGTATTTGCTTAAAACCTCGAACAATGACTGTCATGGATTTTAAGAACATAGATAAAATTTGATGAAACCCCACGTTTTATGGTATTGAAGCTTGTATTTTGGAGGTTTCAATGTTAAAACAGGTTCATATGTATGGTAAACAGTAAACATATGTATGAAACCCCTGTTACTTTCATCCATCTCAAATATATATGATTTTGCATAAATATATGATTTCACATAATATATGATTTGGCATAATTAATGATTTGGCATAATATAGGTTCATAATAAATGATTTGGCATAATATAGGTTCATAACATATGTGTTGTAAATTCACATACACTAATGCCATGTATACCTTCAGATATTGATGTTGTTCAGGACCCAAACCTTGGTAAGATGAAGAAATTGAAGATTACTATAAATAAAACTTTCTCATAGAGCCATTGTAACACAAAAACTGCTTCCCCACATAAACGCGTGGTGAAAACTGCAGAAACCAACACTTCAGAGAAACTAGTTGGATTTGTTGAAGAGGAGGGGGATATTGAGTTTAATGATCAAAACACGAAGAAAAGTGGGAAAAATATTGTTAATCCTTCCTTCAGAGATACAGTTGCAATATATGTCATTTTTATTGAATATTTGGTGAAATATATATTATTTTGTTCTAGTTAATGGATATTTAGATGAAAATTGGTTCCTCAACCAACTAATGCAACTGTATAGCAATAAATATAAGTATAAATTGCAGCCTGTTTCATACCATTCTGCAACTTGTTTCATACAAGTCTGAATATTTTCATTCATTGTTTCATTGAATTTCATTATGTTTATATATTTGAATATACTGTTGATAGAAAACATATTTTCACACACTAATGTTCGACACTATTACTTTTTAGGTAAAACTTCGTTAAAAAGGGTGAAGGATGCATCACACGAATTGCCCCAAAGAATTAGATGGTATGCATATAGTATTACATACTCATGCAGCTATTTGAACCATTCTTTTTAAATTGGTTCACTTCTTCAAAAATCCATAATGAATTTATTAGAGTTTGTTTGTTTTTTTTCTTTTACCATAATGTTAATATAAGAAATAAGCTTTTTATGATTATTACATGAAACTTAATATGTTGTAATTTTTCATATACTAATATATCGTATATCTTCAGATAGTGATTTTGTTCAAGACCCAACCCTTAGTATTCTAAAGAAAGTGAAAGTTACAACATCCAAAAAAGCCTCATCGAGCCATGGTCAGACGGAACCTGTGTCCCCCAAATAAACAACTGGTGAAAGTAGTAAAAACCAATAGAGGACCTCAGCAGGCAAAAGGTAGAACAAATATTACATTTTTCAAAAGTTTGAAAGTACATACAAATGCTAATTAATATATGCAGGAGTTTTGGGTAACCCAACACATAGTGGGGTTCGAGACAATGAGAGGATGCACAACGAAGTCGATCAAAAAGGAATAAATCATGAGCTGGACAAGGGCATTGAAGATGAACCATCATTTGACACGAGTGAAGTACAATATCGTGTATTAAGAACTAGGACATCTCCAAGGACACTGCACGAAACAGTGCACACACTTAACGATTCCCAATGGGCTGCCGTTAAGAGTATGGGATTAGGGAGTCTACTTGACATTAAAATAGACGGGGTCCCATCTCGATTGGGTTTCTATGTTGTAGTCAATTTAGACACTACGAATATGAGGCTAAATGTTAGACACGGTTTAGTTCCAATTACCATATCATCCATTCATGACTTACTAGGCTTGCCGACTAGGGGGATTGATATACTTAGTACTCAACAAGAAAAACCTGAGACAAATCTTAATGACATGTTTAAGAAGCAATTCGTTAAGAAAAGATGAGACCAAAGGATGTGATGAAACTTATCCAAGGTTCTGGAGATGCATCCAGTGCATTCAAAATCAATTTCTTGGTTTTGTTTGTGAGCTTGATGGTAGATTGTAATCACATGGGGTGTTGCAATCCTAGTTTTTTGTCTTCCATTAAGGATGAGAAAATGATACCTGAGATTGACTGGTGCAAATACATATATGATATGTTGAAATGAGTAAGCACTACTGGAGAAGAACAAGTGATATATGTTTCTACGCCGGGCCACTTACTTATTTGACCGTAAGTGCATTTACTTGTTTACTCAGTTACTATGCATGGAGTCAACTATATGGCCAGATGAAGTAGTTGACCACATAAGGTTAGCTACAAGCGGATGGAGCTTCGAGATGTTAAGAAAACGTGAGGCTTGAGAGATTGCCAATGGAGGATTAGGATCGGCTGAATTATTGGACGAGACAAGAGAAGTGGAAAGAGAGGTACTTATCTACCTTTAATGCATTACATGGAACGTTTCTCGATGAGTAAACAAAGGAAAATGAAATGGTATTAAATAGTCCCTTAATTTGAAACATGCACAATTGAACCAACATATGAAACCTTTTCAATTAGTCAAGAAACTTATTACTCGTTATATGAATCTGTTCCAAATGCTTAGTACGCAATATACGAATCTGTTTCACTTGATCACTGCGTTTTCAGTACATGATTCTGTTTCAATATTATGATAATGTTTTCAGTACATGAACCTGTGTTTTAGTATATGAATATTTTTTTAGTATTTATACCAAGCATTCTTCTTACGGCTAGATCCAAATGAATGAACCTGTTTTCAGTATATGAATCTTACTCTGTGGATGAACAAAATTCACTATTATTATAATATGAAATGGTTTCATTGTCTTACCTAATATGAAACTGTTTGCACTGATGCTTCTATTTTGAATACATGACTCTAGTACAATCTGTATCACCGTGTTACTTGATGAACCTGTTCTCAATATACAATTTTGTATCACTGTGTTACTTGATGAACCTGTTCTTCAGTACATGAAACTGTTTGAACAGATGATTCTATTTTCATAACCTGAATATAGATGAATCTGTATCACTATGTCAATGGCTGAACCTGTTTTCAGTATATGAATCTTACTTTGTGGATGAACATGTTCCACTATTATCATAATATGAACATGTTTCACTATTATCATAATATGAAACTGTTTGCACAGATGATTTTGTTTTCATTACATGCCTCTAGTACAATCTGTATCACTGTGTTACCTAATGAACATGTTCTCAGTATATGAAATGGTTTCACTATGGATGAACTTGTTCTCAGTATATGAAATGGTTTCACTGTGGATGAACCCTACTCTATGGATGTGAACAAAATTCACTATTATCATAATATGAAATGGTTTCACTGTCTTTTGTAATATGAAACTGTTTGCACAGATGATTCTGTTTTCATTACATGACTCTAGTACAATCTGTATCACTGTGTTACTTGATGAACCTGTTCTTCAGTACATGAAATTGTTTGCACAGATGATTCTATTTTCATAACCTGAATCTAGATGAATCTGTATCACTATGTCAATGGTTGAACTTGTTTTCAGTATATGAATCTTACTTTGTGGATGAACATGTTCCACTATTATCATAATATGAACATGTTCCACTATTATCATAATATGAAACTATTTGCATAGATGATTCTGTTTCATTACATGACTCTAGTACAATCTGTATCACTGTGTTACTTGATGAACATGCTCTCAGTATATGAAATGGTTTCACTGTGACACATCTGTGACTAATTCAACAACCTATAAGAATTTTTTTCTAGTATATGAACCTAACAACCATGCCAAATATTAGCCAAACATTACATAAACCATTGTCTGAACCAGCAGTTACCGTCATGCATCTTGAACCGCGTGCAACTATATCATACAGTAAACTAGTTCATGTACTTATTCTTGTAGCCTGATTAGTTTGTTAGTTATTCACAAACCATTATTACTTATCAGTGGAGTTTTACAATTGTTTGTCTTGCTATGATTTGTAGGGGGGAAATCAACTTGATTAAAGACATGATAAGTCATATACTTGCTACAAAAGTGTGAAATTGAACAGCGTCTAAGTGCGTGCCATTCAAAGTATCATGGTTGTAACACCCCCAAACACCACATTTGCACATAATACATATTTCATTTCATAGAAATATAGTTTACACCACAATGGTCCCTCTAGTACAAGGATTCTTATATTTATAGAATCTACATATGAAAAATTCCAAAATTAAATCTTGTACTATCATATGTATAACATGTATCCTTCAAAACAAGCAATCTCATGCAGTTCTTCAAAAGCAGATATTAGATTAGGAAAATAATCACATTTTCCCTTTCCCCTTACTATCCCTGGACCCCGCAGTTCCCGCATTGCATATTTTTAAAACAGAAGATGAGGGTTAGACCAGAAGGGTCTAGTGAATAAATCCCTTATTTGCATATGCAGGGTGATAAACACCAAATATAATAAAGTATCTTTGCTCAAGAATATTTGTAATACAACCAAACAATGTAACCTTCAAGAAAATAAATAACAGGATAGGCTCAATGACATTAATTCTTGATACAAATGCATCTGCTTAAGGATCCAATATTCCCTAAATGAAATTATTATTGCAACCAAAGCCTCTTGATTCATTAGACTAAAAAGACCAGAATTCCTCTGTAAATATTAATGGAAAGATTTAAGGCAATACTTGACATTTGTGACAAACCGTTTTCCCCTTCTCAATAACATCTAAATTATTATTTTTAAATAGGAAGAATATCTCTAATTCATCAGATCACAAATAAATGATGATTCAAAGTTATTAAATCTAATTAGCAATAATAATAAGAGTTATAATAATATCCACATATGACAATGCCTCCCTTATTCCAAGTAAACCTCTCATTGATATGCCACCCTTGTTTCTCCATTCAAAACAGGGCTACTTATCAGAACAGACAAAAGTCACCACGTCTGAAAGTACCCATTCCCAGTTCCAAGCCAGAACAGACAAAAGTCACCACGTCTGGGGGAACTACCTTCTTAAAACAAGTTTCGTACCAAAACAGACATACGTCACCACGCTTGGTAGAAACAGTTTACAAAAATCCAATTCCTTACCAAAACAGGCATACGTCACCGCGCTTGGTAGGAATGTTTTCCAAAATATAGTTTCATACCAAAACAGACTTACGTCACCACGCTTGGTAGAAACATATCTTTTTATTCAAAAAGATATAAAATACCCCTTTTATAAATACATAATTTAAACCCAATAATAATCATTATTAATTTTGCAAAACTTCCAAGGATTCTTAACACTTGTAAATATACATCCGGACAAGCAATACGGACAAACAATCCGGTCAACAATCCCTTGTCCGATTTATTAATCCGGACAACACTTAGTCCTTGTCCGATTTATCAATCTGGACACTACACTTGTTCGACTTATAACTAGTTCGCATGACCCATGAGCGATTTAAGGCTAAACCGCACAATGCTTGGTCGTATTCATACTTCTCCGTTCACAACCTTTGTCCGGTTTACATAATTCAAATTCTCACTAACTCATTAAATCGCACGACCCTATGATCGATTTACAATTTAATCGGACAACACTATGTCCGGTTTAAGGTAATCCGGACAACACTTTATCTGGTTTAGAAACAATCCGGTCACCCTTTATACGGATAAAAACCCAAATCTCACAAACTTAATTCAAGACTATTATGCAGTTCATTCAAGATCAATAACCAAAACTTTTAAAAGAGTATATTTAGAAATTACTCACCTTTATGTAGATTTGAAGAAGAAAAATTTAATTTGAATCCAAACTTGATTCTCCGGACAACTCTTCCAATTGCTCTCAATTCTCAAATAAAGCCAGAAAACTTTTGCCTGATAACCCTTTCCTATATTTAAACTTTCCAAATGTGGAAAGTCGGCTACTACCCACACATGTATGCATATATAATACTCATGCACACACATGCACATGCATGTTTATGTCATGCACACATATATACAACACATACATATATATATATATATATATATATATACATATATATACCCACATATTTTGCATATATCCCATGCATGAAATACACATACTTACGCTTTTTAACCCATGTAAGCATGTATCCACATAAACAATTAATTCACATAATAAATACCTTGGGCAATAACCAGGACCCGGTTATCACAATGGTGATGAAGCTTTCATAAGTCTTGTTGGTGAGCTCAATGATATTTTCAGATCTGTTGGTCCCAAAAGGGTCTACAAGAATACTAAACAGTTTGTAGAAAATTTTCAAATTTAAAATATATATTGATAAAGAAGATCAATACAGATTTTACAAGATTGTTTGCGGAAAGATAAGTTGTGAGAAACCTATCTAAACAATCTTAAGATACACACAAAGATTAGCAAATATAAGAAAAGATATTGCTGGGATCGCTGAATGCTGGAATGACCTGAAGGTCTCATCATCATTCGCTGAAGCTAGAGCAGTCTTCACACATAGCTAGACAGGCTTGTAATCACTGAATACCGCTTCAGATCACGTACGCGCCAGTCTCTAATCTTAAGTTTCAGTCTTCGACGTTTGCTGAAGGATCTTT